TAAAATGGATATCATACCCTCTGATCCAGTGATTCCACTTCTACAGATTTATCCTGTAAAATACTAGCACATGTGCAGAAAAATGCATCTACAAGGATGTACAGCACAGCACTGGATACAATCATAAAAGGAAATAGCTCTTTAACAGGGGACTGGTTAAATAAGTTACAGTACATCCATACAGTGGACAAATTATGCAGCCATTAAAAATAAGTGAGTAGGGCTTCCCTGGTGGTACAGTGGTTGAGAGTCCGCCTGCCGATGCAGGGGACACGGGCTCATGCCCCGGTCCGGGAGGATCCCACGTGCCGCGGAGCGGCTGGGCCCGTTAGCCATGGCCGCTGAGCCTGCGCGTCCGGAGCCTGTGCTGCGCAATGGGAGAGGCCACAGCAGTGAGAGGCCCGTGTACCGCAAAAAAAAAAAAAAAAGAAAAAAAAGAAAAAGAAGTGAGTAAACTCTAAATATGCTGGTATCTGCAAAATGTGTTAAATGAAAAAAAGCAAGGTATAGCAGTTCATACAGTATGATACATGCATGTAAAGACAGGGTATACAAAAGGTGACACACACAACACATGCACACACAACACACATATTCTCAGGAAGGATATACAAAAATCTGGGAGGAAATGATTGCCTTTAGGGAGGGCAACTGAGCACCAGGTAGAAGGAAAATTCATGTTTTAATGAAACCCTTAAATACTGCTTGAATTTTTAAAAATGATTTACACATATTTTCTTTATACTTTTAAAATAATAATAATAAAGGAAAAGCCACTGAGTTTGATGACATCGATGAATTTAAAATTTTAAAGACAGATTATCTTCAAAGTGTTAGGGGCTTGACAGTGTGGAAGGATACTGAGAGAAATGGAAAACCACAAAACGGAAGCCGGTTTGGGAAGGACGATGGGAGTTTCATTTTGAACTCACAGTCTTCAAGGGCTGGCAGGGCATCTAAGAGGGCTGGAGATTCACCCTGGGTGAGAGGGCAGAACTGTACGCAGACTGTATGCAGACTGTACACAAACTGTATTCATATTCTGGTCAGTGAAGACATCAGAGAAATAAAGATGGACACTGAAGACAAGATTGATAAAGAAATTAAGAGAGTAAAAAATCAGAGGGCAGGGAGGGATAAATTAGGCGCTTGGGATTAATAGATACACACTATTGTATATAAAATAGATAATCAACAAGGACCTACTGTAGAGCACAGGGAACTCTACTCAATATTCCGTAATAACCTATGTGGGAAAAGAATCTGAAAAAGAATATATATATATATATATATATATATATGTATAACTGACTCACTGTGCTGTATACCTGAAACTAAAAGAACATTGTAAATCAACCATATTCCAATATAAAATTTGAATTAAAAAAAAGCATTAGGATTCAGAAAAAAAAAAAACAGAGGGCAGAGCCATGGTGAGGAAATTAAGGCAGCAGAAATCGACTCTCTCAAGATGGAGGTCAGGGACTTTCCCTGGTGGTCCAGTGGTAAAGAATCTGGCTCCTGAGGCAGGGCACACAGGTTCGATCCCTGGTAGGGGAGCTAAGATCCCACGTGCCGTGGGGCAACTAAGCCCGAGTGGCACAAACTACAAGTACAAGGCCCACACACTCTGGAGCCTGCGCCCCACAACTAGAGAGAGAAAACCCGCACAACTCTGGTCACAACTAGAGAGAAGCCCGCTCACCACAACGAAAGATCCCGCATGCTGCAACTAAGACCCGACACAGCCAAAACTAAAAATAAATAAATAAATAAATAAATAAATAAGATATTAAAAAAACAAAAAAGGGAAGTCAGCAAAAGAAGAACAAGGGAACAAAGACGGGGAAGGACCTTCAGAGGTTAAAAAGAAAAGATTTTATTGTTTTGTCTTGTAAGGTTAAATTGCAAGGTAGAAACAGAGGTATTTAGAATACTAAGGAAAAAAGGATCAGTGTGGAAGTAAGGTTCTGAAGGAAATTGGAACCAATGAGTTTTACAGGGCAAGGTGGGATTAATGTTAATAAGTGGTTTATTAACTAGGAGTGACAACCAATCGGTTTAATTTCTAAATAACTTCTCAACTAACACTTAATCACGTTTTAACTCTATAAACAGCAATAATAAAATATTTAAGCAGATACTGAGTTGCCAAACAAGAGATTTCACTGAGGGCATTTCTGGTATGAAGATACCGTCTTCCAAATTATTCACTCAATTTGAGCGGAAAGAAAACTGAGCCGGCCTCCTCTGGTGGCGCAGTGGTTAAGAATCCACCTGCCAGTGCAGGGGGACACAGGTTCGAGCCTCGGTCCAGGAAGATCCCACATGCCGCGGAGCAACTAAGCCTGTGTGCCACAGCTACTGAGCCTGCGCTCTAGAGCCCACGAGCCACAACTACTGAGCCTGCGCATCACAACTACTGAAGCCCATGCACCTAGAGCCCATGCTCCACAACAAGAGAAGCCACCACAATGAGAAGCCCGTGCTCTGCAACGAAGAGTAGCCCCCGCTCGCCACAACCGGGGAAAGCCCACATGCAGCAACAAAGACCCAACGCAGCCAAAAATAAAATTAAATTAAATAATTTTTTAAAAAAAAGGAAAAGAAAAGTGAGCCGGACTTTTTTAAGTCTTGGAATTCTATCAACTGAACTAGTCAATGAAATATACTAAGTAGGAAAAAATTACACAGGCCAGTTATACAATTTATCTTTTCCAAGAGTTAATGTGGACAGAGGGCTTCCCTGGTGGCGCAGTGGTTGGGAGTCCGCCTGCCGATGCAGGGGACACGGGTTCGTGCCCCGTTCTGGGAAGATCCCACATGCCGCGGAGCGGCTGGGCCCGTGAGCCATGGCCGCTGAACCTGAGCGTCCGGAGCCTGTGCTCCGCAATGGGAGAGGCCACAAGAGTGAGAGGCCCGCGTACCGCAAAAAAAGAAAAATATGGACAGAATTTGTCTACCACAATTTTTAAAATATATTTTTAAGTCATTTTATTGAATTAATTTTAATAACACTGTTTTACCTGGTTGGCAGCTGCCCCAAACCAAACTAAAACAAAGCCACTGTGAATGCTATTCAACATCCTCAAAGTAATCCAGCTGTTTTTGTATTTGGAATATATTGTTACAATAGTTACACTTTTTTTTTTAATAGTTACACTTTTGACATCACATAATAGAGCATACTATATTATTCAAAAAGACTTTATGCATTTCATTTAAAAAATCATTTTGCAAGAGGCTTCAGCTTTATCATTGCCATTCTGTACTTCATGCTCTCAAAATAAAAAAGTGCCCTAAAGCTAAGTTTTTTACTGATATTAATGAATAGTATTCAGGGTTATATGAAATAAAATTTAACATTTTACGGTATAAGAGGCAATAAATGTGGACCAAAACTTTGGAAACATTAAGAAATAAAAACAGAAAGATGCTTAATAAAGAGTATAGCAGAAACTCAATAAACACTTCCCTGTTGTTGAACTGATCACTAACAAAGTAACCAGAATGCAACAAAATATTTACTTTGGAAAGTTATCATGACCCATCCTCAGAACAGCACAAGGCCACCAGGAGCCCTGAATGCAGCAGCTGCTGGAAAGCAGCACTACTTCTGCAGGCCCCTGTCCTCAGGAAATGAAATGTCAGCTGATTTTTGTTTCAACTCTGTAGTCGAGGGTGCTAACCCCAGAAATTACAGGAATCATCATTACACTCTAATACCAAGACATGCAGGAATTTTAAGCTATAAAATTATTTTCTAAATAACATTCAAATAAGACATCTCTGTGATGAAGGGCAGAGCCGAAGGGCATTAACCCGACCATCCAAGCCTCCCGGCTTGCACCAACATTACTTCAGTCCCCCTTGGCAGGCAGTGTTTTTGTTTTTGTTTTTAAATCTTCGCAGAAAGTCAGTCTACAACTTTGAGATGTTTTTAACTCTTAAGATGCGCAAAATTATTTTAAATGTCTAGCTGACTTCAAATTCAGCAAGTCTTCCTTTTTAAACATACTACGATTGAAGGCTATTTCTTCTAAGCCTCATTCCTGCACAATGACAGTAAACCTTAGGGGGGAAAAAAAGAGCTACAGCTACAAAGTAAATAACAAAAAATTGAATCCACTTACACTAATAAGACTGGTTTAAAGCCTTACTTGAAGCCTTACCAAGAATCTCCTATAAAGGGTTTACAAGAAAAAAACAAAAAACGGCAGCAACTTTATCTCAGACCTAAATTCAGCATTCAGCTTCAGACACATGGAAACTAGACATTTCTAAAGATTCTCACGCCACATGAAACTGAAAAAGTTCATTACTTCCCAGGACTTACACTGAAATTTCCAGCAATTACATTCAGGGGTTCCTGGACCAGCCTGAGGCTGGGACATGACCATTTGTTTTTCTCATTCTCCATCTCACCACTGGCTTTTGACATTCCTCTGCTCAACTACCAAGCAGGATTTGAAAGGCAGAGGGAAAAGCTGAGAAATTTAACTTCTCGTGAACAGGTCTAATTAAAAAAGAAAATTAAAATGTGTAGACAAAGAAATCCATTTTCCCCTGAAAATTATGTCTTACGATAGTCTGAGCCTTCCCTCCACCGTCCTCCCACGTTCTCCGTTCATAACACGTCTCATCGTCTTATACAGTTGACCCTTGAACAACACAGGTTTGAACTGTGCAGGTTTGAATCCACTTATACTCAGATTTTTTTCAATAAACACACACCACCTGATGGGCGGTTGGCTGAATCCTCAGATGCAGAACCTCGGGTACCGAAGAGGGCTGACTAGGGAACTTAAACATCTGTGGAGCTCCAAGGGCTGGATCTGGTTTTCAGTCAGGGCCCACTGCAGTCCCACCACATAGCAGGTGCTTTATGTTTACTGAATTTTACTTCTGCCCCTACCCCCCAGCAGTGGATAATTACTATCCAGTTGGACTTGCTCTCAACCCCGGCACAGGCAAAAAGTGACTTTATAGAAATCACTTACCGGGTTATAGATGACATTCTGTAGACTGTTTAAGGACAACATCATTCTTTTCCACCTTATTGTTGACTGGGGTCTCTCTTTTGGGTATGGTCTAAGATTTTAAACAAGTTTCATTTAAAGAATTCCCAGACTGAAACTGAGGCACTTGACCTGTGTAAAATCAAAATAGAGGGAAAGAAAAATAAGCACCATTTTTCTTCATAACTATTTTTAAGTACATAAATTATTTTACTGATATTTACCAAATAACAGGATGTTATAACAAAGATCTGACTCCAGTTCTTATCTAATGTACTTTACTAAATAATTTTGGATTATGAGTACAGGAAATATTGATTTTAAAACTACATCAGTAGAAAACTTCTAATTTGGAAAATTTATTAAAAGTACTTATTACTGGGAGTTCCCTGGTGGCCTAGTGGTTTCACTGCTGTGGTCCGTGTCCAATCCCTGGTCGGGGTACAGGGATCCCGCAAGCCAGGCGGCACAGCCAAAAAAAACAAAAACAAAAACTTGCTATTAAAATACTATATCAAATAATAGCAAATACTCCTGTACAGCTATCTGAGATATTCATTTAACTTTTCTCATCTGTATAATGAGAATAACAGTATTCACCTCACAGGTTTGTTCTGCGGATTAAATGAATTAATAAAGCAATGGAATAGTACGTGCTTTATAAGTTTTATCTATTGTTATTAGTAGAAGGGATTGCTCTTCCTCCTCCAAATTAAACAAGTCAAAAGGAAAAAAAAATCCAATGCCTCAAATATTAATTTCCATGTGGCTAAATAAAAGATAAAAGCTTTAAAGGTAAAAGTACCCATCAGTACTACACATAACAGCTCCAGGGAAGACTTGAAGACTAAGCAGAACCAAAAGAGAAATGAAACTCAAGCTTCCTACATTTTACTTCCTCCGATTCTGTCATTATACCAAAGGGCAATACGCACTGGTCACATGTATTACTTTTTCTCTGTTACGAAAAAACTGCATCTCCAACCCTGGATGTAACATAAACTGAGTGGTTAAGTTACAGCAAGAGGTGTTAGCTGAGCAGATGCAGGTTGTGAAAGAATTCACAGAAGTATTAACAAGGGAAGAAAAGAAAGTTTTTATTCACTTTCCAAGGGAGGAGAGGGGCCAGACACATAGAGTGGCATCGGCCCTGAAAGGTGGCGGTCTGAGTCTTTTAACGGGTTTCAAAGGGCAAAGTGCTGGAAAGAGCGGGTGGGTTCATATCTATTTTGGCCCACAGTTGTATTCTGGCTTGCTGTGTTTCTATAGGATGTGGTTTTTCTGAGAATCTGTAACTTTCTGTCTTCAGTAATTTTTCAGTCCTTGAGTGTCTCAAAGAGACATGATAGTGGCCTTTGACAGGCATTACTCTATTTTGAACAATGTCAGATGGGCTCACAAGAGGGATTTTGCAGGTGTAATTAACATCAGCTGATGTCAAGATCGGGCGATTGTCCTGGATTAACTGGTGGGCCCAATGTAATTACATGAGCCCTTAATAAACAAAGAAGCCAGAGAGATGCGGTAGCAGAAGGAATCAGAGATTTGAAGCCTGAGAAGGATTCAACACATTCTTGGTGGCATTTCGATGGAGTGCGGGTGGGCACACACGGAAACTGCAAGAAGGAAACAAACCTGGAAAACAAACTAAAGTATCCCGGAAGTTGATTCTTCCCCAGAGAATAGAGCCCAAACTGGATAACACCTGAACTTCAGCTTGTGACACCCTAATCAGAGTACTCAGCCTGGTCCCCCTAATTTTTTGATCTAAGATCTATTAAGAAAATAAGTGGGTGTAATCAAAACATCAAGTTTTATGCGCTAAATGTATACAATTTCTATTTGTCACATATACCCCAATAAAGCTGGGAAAACAAAAAACCTGTATCCCTCTTGGTTTATAAATGTAACCCCATCTATTAACTTACACATTAGTCAAAACCTCAAAACTGTTTTGCTCCATCAAACTCGCGAAGCATCAACAAGAGCAAAAACAAAGGATACAGAGATGCCACAGCCACATTCATAATTTACATCGTTAGTAGAGAGTGACCCAATTTAAGCCACGGGCCCGCGTGAAACCAATCATTCCCAGAAACATCCACAGGCACGGGTCCTGGTGTTATTAACTCTTCGTTCGCTTCCCAAGAAGCCATCACGATGCTGTTGCAATTCAGAGGACAAACGTTTCCTAACGTTTCACATTGCAGTAAATGACTCTGCATCTCAAAAGAGGATGTTCAGAGACCGGGAGGGCCACGGAGGTCTGTCATTAAATTTAAAGAACCCGTCATTTAAAACACCAAGAAGGAAACGTCCCCGGATTCCACTGCGCGAAGGCGGCGCTCGCTCCCGGGCGGGGAGGTCGCAAGTGCGAAGACAGCACCGGACGAGGCGGTGGTCGACAGCGGGGCTTCCTCCGGGGACAGCGCCGGTTTGCCCGAGGGCCGCGACTCCCGACCATCCCTTGTCCCCGGGGCGCAGCGCGCGGGGCACTGCCAGCCGCCCAGCCAGACCCTCCGCGGTGAAGACCCGCGCGACGGGCTACCGGAGCCGGTCCCGTCCGTCTGACTCTGACACGGGGCCAGAAACACCGCATCCCCTCCTCAGCCGACTAGCCCACCGCCGCGACCGCCCTCCGACTCACCCCGGGACCGGCGTCGCGGACGCTCGGCGTAGGAGGCTCCTCTCAGGCCGCGGCGCGTTATCCGGATTCCCGGCCGGGCGTGCGCGGGCGAGAACGGGAAGCGAGAGGAGTCAGTCCGCCGCCATTTCCTGGTTCGCGCCCCACTGGCGTCGCCGTCGGCCTTGCGTCTGCGTGCGGGGCGCGCTGGCGGCTCCGCTGGGCTAGTGGCTGGTCCGCTGCTGGCCGCTCCCCCGGCGGGGCGCCCTGCACGGCCTCGGGGACTCGGACCGCCAGTGGCTTGCTGCGAGACGAGCGGAGAGGGAGGGGGCAGAGTGTGTGCTTCCAAAATTCCCGGGTGGATCTGGCCGCCTCTGCCCCGCCGCCGGGGTTGGGGGGCCGGGAAATGGGGAAGAGAGAAGGAGAGACCTTCTGCTCCCTCGGCCCGCGTGTCCGCGGCCTCCAGGGCCGGTGTGGACTTCGCACAGGCCCCGCCTCGACCCGGTGATGGCCGAGAGGGGCCCACGCGGCCCGAGGGGCCGTCTGTGACCTTCCCTGGTCGCCCGGCTCAGCGGGGTCAGTGCCAGATATTTCTCAAGGTCTCCTCCCTTGTCTGCCATGGGTTAGAGTCCAAACAGTACATACAGTGCAATAAAAGAGAAGCTGACTTGGAGGCATCCCGGTGCCTTGTTTGCCACACCTTTGGGTGTAAATAAAATGCGGGGGGAAATGGGTTCAGTATAGCTGGACTGAGTCCAGCCCGGAGCCCCCATCCAGTGAGTCTAACTGCGGCTTATCTGCCAATTTTGTGTGTTGTTGTTTTCTAAGTTATATACTACCCCGGGGGAAATGTCAGCAGTATTGAGCACAATTCTGAGCACGGTAGATGTTCAGAAATAACCAACTTTTTAGGCAAGTGCCCATTGGCTGTAAAAAACGTCAGCGAGAAATACAAATAAAGTTATGTAAGCTACCTTGAACAGCTGGTACAGTTTGTTTTCTGTTAGGGATCACAAAGTTCTTATCTTCCTACTTGTCTCTACTTGATTTTTATGCACGTTTCCTTTGAGAGACATGTTTTGGTGTCCCTGCTCTGGGCTTTCTCCTCTGTAGCTTTGCGTTTTATTATTTTTTATTTAAATTGAGAAATTCATTACACACCCAATACCATCGAACTCACATTCTGATTCCCTATTACTTTGCCCTCCTATTCATTTTCCAAGTTTGCTTCACTCTTTAGGATCCAACTTCAATAGCTGTATTTAACCTTTAACATACACTGCCTGGGATTTGTACTTATCTTTCTGTGTGTTGTGTTTTATCTATCCAACTCGAATTTAAATTGAGAAGAGGAAACGGTCTTAAATATTCCCCAATACTTAGTGTAGTGCTTTGCATGAAGTACACATTCTGTAAATATTAGGTTGAAATGATAGGTTATTGATAAAGTGAGGAGCAATTGAATGTCTTCACAACTTTGCCTGGGTTGATTACCTCCCCCCTACAAAGTAAGCTGAAATAAATACACATCAATGCTCCACTTCTTTGGTAAGTAGAATTTAGGTATAAATGGGACTGTGCAAAAGGGCCAGAAATCCTGTATTGGTGCAGTAATTATGGATTAAAAGATCCACAAATCCAGAGAATTTATCTTAGAAAAACCCCTTCGTTGGTCCGGTTTTGTTCAATGAGCTCCGTATGTTTTTTATATCTTTTAGAATCAACAAGTATGTACTCGATGTCCGCCATGACAAGGCACAGTGACAAGTATACAAAGGGCTTTGTAATAGTTGCCGTACCGGGCCCTCTAGACGCAAAAAAAAAAAAAAATATATATATATATATATAGGATGATGTATAATTGGGAGCACTTGTTTTTGTTTTTGCGGTACGTGGGCCTCTAATTGTTGTGGCCTCTCCCGTTGCGGAGCACAGGCTCCAGACGCGGAGGCTCAGCGGCCATGGCTCACAGGCCCTGTCGCTCCGTGGCATGTGGGATCTTCCCAGACCGGGGCACAAACCCGTGTCCCCTGCATCGGCAGGCGGACTCTCAACCGCTGCGCCACCAGGGAAGTCCTAACTGGGAGCACTTGGGTGGCTACATTAGTTGCATGCCTAGGAAAGCTTCTCCAAAAAGGTAAAGTTTAAGTTGCTAGTGAATGAAAGAAAGGAGGCAGCTAACCAAAAGGAAAAGACAGTTTATGGCGTGGGAGAAATATCTGCAAACAATGGGCTTAATTTCCAAAATATATAAACAGCTCAATATCAAAAAAACAAAAAACCCAACAACCCAATCAAAAAATGGGCAGAAGACCGAAATAGACATTTCTCTAAAGAAGACATACAGATGGCCAACAGGCACATGAAAAGATGCTCAACATCGGTAATTATTAGAGAAATGCAAATCAAAACTACAATGAGGTACCACCCCACACCAGTCAAAAAGTCCGCAAGTAACAAATG